AAGACACACTGCGTCTCTAGCCTCCGAAACTTCAAACGATTGTATCTCAGCTCCTAGATGAGCTAGAAAGCTGAAAATTAAACAGAAAGATGTGAAATTTAGGGAAGAATAATTCAAGATTTGATATTATTCAAAATTAGAAATTCCGAGAATTCTGAAAATTGGAAAAATTCCAAAATCTAGGCATCTAATTGTATGGAGTACTTTAAAAACAAACTAATTTGCGTTAATCTTGTACAAAAACCTCCTTCCTAGCTCATCTGGAGGCCGAGATAGAGTCATTTGAATTTTCCAAGGCTAGAGACGCATTGTGTTTTGTCGTCTGGCGTCTCCAACCTCCCAAACTTTAAATGACTGTATCTCAGCTCCTAGATGAGCTAGAAACCTAATTTTTTGACTAAAGCGAAGCCGAGATAGAGCCGCACCAAGTTCAGGAGGCCAGAGGGATGAGTTTTGAAATAAAATTATCATAATGAGTCTATCACACAAGATCCCAGATAAAAATAGGCCAAAAATATATGGGCCCATAAAGGAACACCAGCTCAAAAGTGTCAGTCAGCAGCTCTTGCAGGGCTCCTGTCATCATCATCACCAATAATATTGCCCCGTTTTTCCATCATCAATCAGTGTCTCTCTCATTCTCACATTCTATGTATATTTGTGTGTTTCCGATTGGGGACGGTTTCTGTTTGGACAGCAGGCCACCCAAAAGTCAAGCGAAATGGAGAGAAAGGTGGTGCGTGAAATTGATGACAGCTAGGAATACAGACGGACATCATGAACTATAAATCATTGGTTTGGAATATTACTATTATTATATCCATAATCTGTAGTAGAAAATTTGATCCTTGGGGTACCCTTTAGTTTGAGCTCAACTACATCTCGGCTTCTATAAGATTGTCAATCGAAAAAATGTTTTCCAGATTATCACCAACATTTTATCAGTTAGGGAAACCTCAAACTTTTAGCTCAATTATCCCAGCTCTTATTAGAGATATCAAAAATTGGTAAACTGATAAAATGTTGGAAATTTTATGATAAGCATTTTATTAGTGAACAAGTTTTTGATACCTGTTACAGAAAGCGAGATAATTGAGCTCAAAGTGCAGGTATATATGGTGATGGGTGACCATGTAGGCAAGCCAAGGGTGGGGGGGGGGGGGGTGAAAAAGATTCCTTACGGATTTTTTTAGAAAGTTGAACCCAAATCTTCAAGTGAAAATCCCCAATCAAAACAATCATTCAAAACAATCGATTGGGGGAAAACAAGGAAAATGGGTTTTGTTTGAGTTTCGGGATCTTTTAGGCATCGTACCCTGACCGGCGTCCATATGATAAATTTTTGGAATCCACAAAATTGAAATTTGTAGTTTTCCTGAATAAAAAATGACGGATTATTCAAAAGTTGAGATTGTGAAAAAATTTTGGTACTACTCCCAACTTATCTACACAATCGACACCGTCTGCTGCCGATCGATGGTGTACCCCCTACACTTACACTTCAAACTCAATTATCTCGGTTCCCATAAGAGACATCAAAAAGTTGTCAACTGATAAAATGTTTATCATATCATCAGCAATTATTTATTAGTTGACAATTTTTTGATATTTCTTACAGTAATCGCGATAAATGAACTCAAGTAGGCTTCCTCATGGCGGCACACAGCGTGAAGCTCATTTCCCAAATTTCACACCCCAAACTCAAACCAATATTATTTTCCCTATACAAAAGCCGCCAAAAAGCGGTATCCCCCTTTATGGTCTGTGACAAGTGTCAATTAAGTGTCGACCCTCTAAAATAAACAATAATAATCGTTTTGACACCCATATAGCCCCTTTTAGGGATATCAGTCTATCATAGTCAAACAAATCATTTTCGGAGAGAAAAATGGGGAAAACGAAAAATTGTATATGCAATAAAATATGATGGTTTTGGAAAAAAAAATTTTGCCAAAAATGAAAATTGTATAGAAAACTGAGCCTTCGGCAAGTCAGGGACAGCGGTGGGGGCAGGATAAGAACACAGCTAGCTACTTTCTAGTTATAGAGCTTTTAAAGATTTTAGGTCTGCTAGTTACCGATTTTGAGCAAATTTCGACCTACTGAGCATTTTTAGCCTATTTTTTTGTAGGAAATCGCCAACTTTGGCCACTTGAAAAAGTAGTTTTAAATTTTTCAAATTGACTGAAAATTTCAGACTGTACTAAACAAAAATAGATCTTTAATTTTGTAGCTGACAACTTTTCTGTATCTTTAGTGGTTTTTGAGATATGCGCCATTAAAATCACCTTTTACTTTTAGGGATCCAAAGTCACCTGCAAACAGATTTTTCAGAAGTTTGGCCAGGTACAGTAAGATCGATTTAAGGGAAGTAGTTTGGATATATTAAACGTATAATACTAAAATCCAAAAAAAAAAGACATTCAGCGAAATGAATGACGGCTACCATGGATGCCGGGGCTCCGCGGAGAGGAGCACACCTTCAGAGAGAAGATCTCTCTCTCTCTTTCTCTCTCTCTCTCTTTCTCTCTTTCTCTCTCTCTCTCTCTCTCTCTCTCTCTCTCTCTCTCTCTTTCTTTGTGTTGTGGCTTTTAATATATTGCTCATCTTTGGGCAAAAAAGGATAGAAGCATAAGTTATGGAATATGATTTTTGGGGGTAGATTTATAGAAATTTTGAAAAAAAGCCCAAAATTTTTTTTGTGATTGTGGTCTAAAATGTGTGAAAGGGGGAAATGTTTCAAATATGTGGGAGTAACGGATATATGTATTATTAAAAGAGAGAGAGAGAGAGAGATAGAGAGAGAGAGAGAGAGAGAGAGAGAAAGAGAGAGAAAGGGGGGGGGGG